TTCATGAGCTGCAGGCAGTGCTCGTAGTCATTTCCCACATCACCTATGTTAATCATGACTTCCTGAGGAAAGAAGCAGCAGACAGGCAAACATTCAGGATAAGAATACAAAAACACAATACATCCCAGTGCTTATGCTGATGCAGTTAAGTTCTGTGATGTTCTCTATAAATCATTGACGTACAACTTCTGAAGTAGTCTCTTCTGATTTTTGAATAATGATGAGACTTATTCCCAACTGTTTTTCCAATCTCTTACTGATTATGAAACAGCCTCTGAAAGAAAACTTGATGGATAAAGTGGCTCTTCTTTCACTGTTACAAAAAGAAACTTTCAGATTTGATACACAATGAAACTCAATGCCAGTTGCCAAATGCTTCAAGTCCCTTCTATTCTAGTGTGCTTTTAGAATTCTCATGCAAAAGGCATGAAGAAAATGTCCTGGAAGATGAGACATCTATCGCACATTCATTGCAAGATAGCAAGACTGTAGTGCACTGCTTGGGTTAAGTACTGGAGTTCATTTACCTTCTCCCTGATCCAGGCTTCCACCTGGTTCACTTTCTGGAGAAATTCCAGGAAATCCCGGCTATCCTCCAGCATCTTTCCACGGGCAGCAACAGCTCTCTTCAACTTCTCCCAACGCTCCTGAAGCATGCGGACTTGGTGACGGATCTCCCCTGATTTTGGGTGGCCTTTTGATACCAGGGCTTCTCCTTTCTTCACATTCAAGAGAGGGGGGTTAGAAATGATGGTTACTACTGATTTTTAATACAATTACCATGTTACATAACTTTTCTAAAAAGACTCTCACTTTCCTAACCTGCACAACCAATTACTAATGCAATTTCTCAGGTCTCAAATAATAAAGCTCAATAATGCCTTATGTCTGGAGGGAATCAAGAACAATAGATTTAAGTATTTGCCTGCCAAAGGGAGCTATTACAGATGATTGTGCCCTTCAACTGTGTGATTTCTCCAGTATCAATGAGTATGTTCAGCTACTGGGCGTGAAATCCTATTTACCTTTTATAGGAGTAATCACCCCAGGCAAGGAAGAAGTTGGTGACGTCTTTCTATGTGGACAATAAGGAAAGATGGAAGTCCCTGAGTCCCTTGGAGAGAGAAATTAAGATACCTCTCTGTTGTAAATTAATGGCATTCTATTTCCATGGCATAGAAACTGGGTTCTTCTCACATGTAGAAAAATTGATAAAGAGCTGGTGAACAAGTTACTCTTCTTTCTCATTCCATCTTAGATAACCTGCAGTAATCTAAAAACACTAGCAGAGTGCGAGAGTTACCTTATTAACAGCTGTGATGATTTCTTCATTCGCTAGAATCTCTGCCTCAAAGACTTGATGTTTCTGCAGAAGCTTCATTTTGTCCTGCAGATTGCTGGGGTCTTGTACAGAAGGATCCTCTAGTTTCTGCATGCGCTCACTGATCCAGTTTTCTGCCTGCAGCAGCGTGAAACACCTGAGTTAGCATGACAACTACATGCCATCCTGGGGCCTCCTCCCAAGACATGTCATTATTCAATGCAACTGCTTATGTCTGGGCTAGGAAGATTGAGCTGGGAGCTGACAGACACGATAGCTTTCCAGTTCCTGAACTATTCTACTTGACAGGAAATAAAAGCAGGTAGGAATGAAAATAATTTTTATCTGACCATAATAATGAAAAAATTCCTTGCATACCCCAAATTTTATCACAAGCCATAAATATATTAGTCAATATTCTAGATTAGATACAGAGGATCCTTGAGAAGATATGCAATATTAACATGGTAGACATATTTAGAATGAGCTTGTGACAACTGGGTTTTGGATTTAGGGCTCTGAGTTTCATCTCCTATCTTTGTCGTTGACCTACCTATAAACTAGATTAAGATTCTTGTAAATTCTGTGCCTTGCCTATAAAACAGTGCTAAAACTCCCTTGACTTCAGAGATGTTCTGAGACCTAAATGGAAAATGTGAAGCAATGAAGCTTTCCTGATGTGTTGAAGCACTAGTTAGTTTGTTTGAAAGCAAATACAAGTCTATTTGTTTTTATGCTTCATAAAATTCAAAATATTCTAGTCAGGAACATCAGATTCAGACCATCAGGTGGATCACGAGGACTAATAATGCACAGGTTACATGCTTCTCTTAGGGAATTCTTTCTTAGGGGATTTAAATGTATGCAGAATAAAATGGACAACAGGGTAGTGACCTTACTGCATTTTTTTTTTTTTAAGTTAGCTAAACTTCAGCATTAGCACTGACAGAAATATTTTCTATCCATCAAAGCACATAGCTGAACATGCACTGTAACTGATCCCACTGTCCTCAGACCACTGAAGTACCCAAATGTTTTGACTACAGAAGAACAGCAAATTGAAGCCAGCTTCATCAGTTTCAAAGTGTCTTGGCTGTCCTTGTGGAAATGCTCTACACACATGCAAGAACTGAAAACTGGAAGATTTTCTCAGTTAATTAATGATTTGAAGTGTTGTTTCAGCTGCCGAAATTCTATAAACAATAACAGAAATAGCTTTCACTAGCAGCACACTCTCCAGAAAACATTTCCCTCTGAAGTACATTTAGAGATTCACACAGCAGCCCTATTCCTTATGTCAAGGTTGCCCGGGACAGCAAACTGTCATCTGCTGTTTTCATTTCTGACACCCTCCCCACAAGCTAGGGCCTTCTCCCATTACCCAGCCACACATTAACACTTTAAGGTCAATTTAACTGACTTCTCTGTTAAATGGGAGAGGCTCATCCATGCAGTTAGACTGAGAAACCAGTGGATCCCTTGTACACTGCCAAGCAAAGCAAGCAAAGGGTGATTTCTCTCCTACCTTTTTTTTTTTTTTTTTTTTTTTTGTAATAAGTAAGGGCTTAATGGCAGACTGAACAAAACTTTAAAAATCACATTTGCATTCTCGGTGACTTGATTTGTTCTCAGGCTTACTTAGGATGACTCTAGAGAGCAAGACATCTTTCTCCTGGCTCCATGTCCATATTCAGATGTAAAGCAAGGCTGATCTGTTTTTTCAATATCTTTCTATGAAATGCCTTATGGTTGACTGGACAAACATTTTCACTTTATTGAAGACAAGGACAGTGAGACCAGTGTAATACTCAGTGTAGGTACATGGGAACAGCCTTATTTCTATGGGACTCAGAAAAAAAAGTGTGTCTGCTATCGATTTAGAAATCTACATTTTCAAAATGTCAGTTGCTGTAATCTCAAAAGGATAAACTGTAAATTACACTGATTTTTAATAACAGAAATATTCAAAATATATACAGAGCTGTGCATGTTCCAAGCATTTATAATTCTTTCTCACTCCTCTGAAACAAATAAGTAAATGTTATTTATTCTCTTGTACAGAGGGCAAAAGGGAAAGCAATTTAAGTGCCACTAATATAATGAGCAAGTTTCAGAGTCAACTTTAAAATTCAGAGATGACTTTAGAAGTCGACTTCCAACTTTATGATCTTTCCTCTGCAACAACTTACATAAATACATATATTTCTAAGTAGCAATCTGCTCATTTGCCTTCTATGTTAAGACTGAGGTGTATAGGATTGACTGTCCTATTGTCTAGGACAGTCTAGGATAGTCTAGAAGTCTAACTTCTGCGGGACTACAAGAGTGACAGTTTCTAGGACAGTGTGTCCTACCCTGTGAGCTGCAAGCACGTGATCTCCTGAGCAAGTCACTGAAGGTTTTGTCTAGAAACAAAGTACCGTGTCCTGAAAGTGGTACAAACTGCAGCAGCTAGTTTAGCTTTCTAAGTAGACCATATGACATTGGGTTCTATTCTGGCATCAACAACTATGGACTATGTTGTCCTGCTATTGATGTGTGTAGCTGCCTGTGTAATTCCTTCTAGAAAGTAACCAGGAGACTTTTAACCATGACAACGATCATTACTTTCTGCTGACAGAAAAAAAATAAAATAATAGTCTGATCAACAGAAATTACTTCAGATGACTGCAGGAGGGAGAATTTCTGGGGGAGTGGGATCTGAGTTATGGGACTTTTTCTCCCAAAAAGTAAAAATAAGCAATGACCTCATTGATTTCTCAAGTATATTCAAAACTCTTCTCTGCAATTTAACTTTCCTTTGGGGACTATGCTCATAAATGAACCCATACACACCCAGAACATCACTACAATCAAGTTAAACATTCCATTCTACTCACCAAAGAGGAAGGGAGATATTACCACAATTTTTTTTTTTTAATTCCTTGGTGGCATTCACATTCTACAGTGGTAGGCAATGAATTTAGATCAGTGGACTAAACAAGTGGCTTGAGAGCAAAAACTCCCTACAGAACTCTTGGTTAAATTAATGTGGAGTAATTGGCTGAGAAAAGGGAAATACTCCTCACTATACAAGACAGACGCTGTGCTAGAAGCGTGTGATTCAAGAAAACAGAATGAAGGAGGACCCCAGCCCAAGCACTGTTGACAATTACAGAGATGGGAAGCAATGAAGAAGTATTCCTAGCCAAAGGGTTGATTGTATCTCTAGGAGGGCAGCCACAATTTCTCCACCAGAAAGGGTGTTTGCAGTTATGTGACCTTTCCATCAGAGGTACATTGCTCTTTTGAAAATATTAGCATTGTGCAATGCACTGTCCAGTTCATCGACTCCCCTCTGCTAGTCCACAAGGTAGACCAGCTGTCATTGGTAGGCTGGTTCATGTGATAGGAAAGGTATGACCAAGTAATACAGGTTAATATTTGACTGTGTAAATCATTCCTGATGAAGTTTATTTAAAAAAGCAGAGTGCAACTCTGGCTCTTTAGTGTAGCCAAAGAGAGTATTTAAGTATTTTATTATTATGGTGAGATATATTGTGCTAAATGGCGAGATATAATGTGCCAAATATATTGTGCTACAAATGGAATTTAGCAGCCATTTATTCCTTAGATGACTTTTTTATTCATTTGTTTTTAATTTGGTTGTCAGCAGCAAATGTGTTACAGGCCTTTGGTAAGGCCTAATTTGAACTGTCAGGACCTGTGCCTTTTTTGTGGGCTGGGAGGTGACAGGTACCAGCAGTTTTTGTATAAAACATGGAGGATGTTCCAAAAGATAAAGAAGCAGAAGGAGTGTTTACCATACCATCAAGTGTTTGTAAGTGTCCCTCTGGGTCTGTCTGCTGTTGTTTATGCCAGCACACTGGATGCTAGCACATTTTTCAGTCATACACATTGTGCTGCCCTTTAAAAGACTGACCTGTTATGTTTTTCCAACAGTGGTGCCAGGAGTTGAGCTACTTGGTTACAGCACTAAGGCCACAACAGAAGACAGAGACTAACATATTCTGCAGACTAGCCTACAGGAGCTGAAGAGCCATGCTCACTTACAGCACTGTTTTGAAGGCCTTCAGTGAGCATCCACTAGTAAAGGTTGGTGCCCTTGGCATGCTGGTTTCCACTTTGTATTTACTCTGACATCCCTTTCTTTCCTACCAAAGGAAACATATGCTGGCAGTTACCTTTCCATGAGCTTTATTTCAGCAAAGCTCCTGATGTGTAAAGTGGCTCTAACGGGCACAATTCCACGATGATAGTATAGTAACAGCAATGTTAGTAGCTCACCTACCCCTTTGCTTGAAAGCATGGAAGTACAATGAGTTGCCATACCAGAGCAGATTATCAATTCATCTAATCTCTGGCAACAACAAACACTTCATTCAACAGTAGTAGGCAGTTTCCCTCCCTTCAATCCTCATACCAGTCTAAACCCCTCTTACCTCTGCCAAGTTCTGGTAGAAAAGTGCTAGAAGAAGAGCAGTCTGCAGCTTGTCTCTCCGGCTCTGTGAGAGGTCCTTGATCTGCTGCTTCCTCACAAGAATGGTGTTTAGCTTGTGCTGTATCTGTAGCCCATCCAGTCCACCATCCTTTTCTAGCCTGCTTGCCTGTTCTTGAAGAGACATAATCTGAGAAGGCAACAAATCTGAAGTCACATTTATGTTTGAAACAAACAAACAAACCAACCAAAACAGGCTCCTTTCTATACGTAAAAGATTGTCTTTTTTGCTGGAAAGATCCAAGAATGTCAGGGACAGGCTTACCAGCATTTCCCCCAACCTCTCCTGGTACTATGACACATCTACAACTTCCTTGTTATCGCTCTCTGTAACACATCATGGCTACATAGATGAAAAAAACTGTTGCTATAGGAGTCCTTCCCATTAATAAAATGGTGCAAGGAGTGATGGAGCAAGCCTGACCCTCATGGATGCTTAGGTTTTATTACTTTGTGGAAATCAGGTGTTGGGAGATAGCTCTCAACATGAACAATCAGCCTAGCAGGGAGTTGGCACAGGGCTGGGAGCTCATTCCATCTGGGGAAGCCAGGCACAGCCCCAGGCTTGAGAGTTTAGCCTTAGCATGGATGAATTACAGCTGCTGTCCAACTGCCAGGCAGATTCTTTTATGTATGGGTGAACAATTCAGCATCTTTTCCATAGACGCAAAGAACGTAGACAATTTGGTACAGATATTATATAAAAAATATATATTTGAATAATAAGTCAAACCATCCAGTTTGAAATACTGTATTTTACTTGCTTTAAAAGCCACTGTTTTTCTGTGAAAAAAGGCAGAAACTTCTGGTATCCATAACATGCAGTATGGTCTGCTTAAAATATCTGTTCTGGTACGTCCCAGTATTTGATTTACTAAGTGGTTTTCCTGTCTACTTCAAGACAATATAGACAGGATTTGGGCATGGATGGTTTAGTACTTGTCTCCACTCCTCTGCCTCTTATTTCAGTAAGATTCCCTATTTTTTCTCTGGCTTGAGTATATCAGGCATATCACACCTGTTCATCAATTTAACCTGTTGCCATATTTAAAAACAAAACAAAAAGAACAAACACACAATTATTCCAGCTCATTGATAAGTAGAATATTCATGTTTGGTTACCATACCTTCTCATCCTGTGATGCCAGTAGCTTCTCGAAAGCCTCATGTTTTCTAATCAGTTGCTCTACTTCATCTACAGAGCTCCCGAAGTCACTGCTTTTCAAATAAACCTATAAAAAACGTTTAATATTTTTCTCAGTGGATTAAATATCACAATCTCAATTCACAAATGTGAGAGGAGATATTAGCTCTACAGCTGATAATTGGAAACGAAATAGTAGAGCTTCATGGTATTGAGCAAAAAATACAATAGCAGGCCCAACTAAGTAAAGCGACCAGTCACTGCTTACCATGATCACTAAACCACAAGGCTGGCAGTGAATTCAAGATGTCTAAGCAATTCTTGTAATCCAAAGCATGTCTGATAGATGTCTGTATGGTTTCCTCTTAGAAGATATCCAATAGCAGAGACTTTGCAGTCTACCATGGCAATTTATTCCACTGCTTCATTACCTTTCCTATTAACAAGATTTTCCAAATATCTAACCTGAAAATGCATTGTTAACGCTACACCTCATTACACGTTGCCCTCTTCGTCACAGAAAGGAAATGATTCCTTTTACATTTGCTTCAGTCTTGCATGTACTTGTAGGCTCTTTGAATACTTGGATTTCTATCTTCTCTAGTCTAAAGCCACCCTGATAAGATCAATCACTCCACAAAGGCTGTGTCTTCTTGACTTCTAATTGTTCTCATTGCTCTTCTCTGTGTTTTCTCCATTTCCACTTATTCTGAAATGTTGTTCCTACAACTTTATGCAATACTTGGCTGAGGCTGCCATAGTGAAAGTAGTGAAGGCAGAAGAGAACTGCTGTTGCCTTTCAAGCTGTAATCATCCTCATGCATCTGCGTATGGTGCTTATCCTTTACTCAATACCTTGAACTCAAGTTCACCTTGTAATCTATTATAAGTTTCCAGAACCTTTTCAGAAGAACTGCTATCAGACCAGCTTGTCTTTATCCTGTATTTATTCAGCTGATTATTCATGAAAAAACATCATAACTTGCACCTCTACCAAATGCATTACATTTGTTATTTTTTCAGGACTTTTTTTCCAACTTGCGTGCACTAATTTAATTTACTATCTATCCTGTCACATTCTAACATAAGAAGATCTAAGTATAAAAGATGAAAGGCAGTTTTAAAGAAACTGACTTCTGCTCTATTCCCTTTTAACACTATTAGGACATTTTTATATTAATCCATGTACATCTCTAATGCACCACGGTGTTTGTTAACTCCTTCCTGGTACTAAGAAAATTGATTACACAATTACTACATACATTGTGTCACTAGTTAATATTTTGTCAGATGCAAAAGAAAAAACAATGTATTTATGTATTGGTAACAAAAAAAAAAAATGAAGAAGATATTCTGCAGGTCAGTAAGCATTTATGCTTTTCCAGTGGATTTAATTGCCCACAATTACGTCCCGTATTTAACTGTGAGACAATGGCAAGAAAAATAACAAACAAAAAACAACAACAAAAAACAATTGTATGCTCTGATGAGACATAAAAATTTTGGTTTTGGACAAGGTTTACAATGTAGTGAACACAAATGAACAGAATTTTGAAATTCAGTCTCCTACAGGGGACTGCATTTTTCAGCTTGGACAAGGCACCATGTGATCCATTCTGTGAGCTAATGGAATTATAAATATTTGGAAAAAGATGAGAAATTCCAACCAGTAACTAGCTGGGTAAAGTGCAGAGATGGAAGAAAGGTTTGAGATCAGCGATGTAGCATGAAAAAATTAAGCAGCACAGAAAGAAACAGAACAGAATGAGCGAAACAACATAACAGGTAATATTTTCAAAAGAGGACTGTTAAAGAACACAGGCAAATCTGTGACACAAAACACAGAGGAACCCTCTGGATGTCCCCCTGCTCCCACCTGAGGGCCCCACTGAAGCTCAGCCCTGGTCCCAGCCCTTCCAGAGCTGCACTGAAGGGAGGCCTGAGGCTGGCCCTTATGGATGGCCCAGACTGCTCTCATTACCTTGCCTTGTCACTGTGACCTCCAGCTGGTTGATGGACCTTGTTATCGTCACCACCACTTCACTCTCCTCGGCAACTGTGGCTTAGAGAACTGACAGCTAGACTTGGCCTGACTTCCTGGTTCATTTTTTGGTACTTAATGAGAGGAATATTTTGCACATACAGAAAAATACACAGAAGAATATCATGCCTGACCAGATGTTTGAACTACTCTGTACTAATCCACTTGAAGTACCAGAAGACAGGTAAGCAAATCTCATCACAGTAATCACTGCCAGGAAGAGGGGAAGGCCACTTAAAACTGGCCTACATTGTTAGTAAATCTGGTGCATAAATCAGCAGGATGCATAAAGAAATACATTATCAATAATACTTCTTCTCTATTAAATACAAATCCCACCAGAAGACAGATATTTTGTGATTTAAACTTCAATATTCTGATCTATCCTACTCATCGGGTGTAGGAAATTGTTGCAGATTTTTTTTTTTAGTGTTTTTAAAGTTTGTTCTGCTCTTGTTGGAAGAAAAAAATCCCCACATGCAGACTCTAGGTCTGTTTGTTCTACTGCTGTATTAAGCCACTTATAATTAACATCCATTTTTCACACATAATTAACATCCGCTTTTACACTGAGGAAAAAAAAAAAAGCTATCTATGGAATCTACTTATTCCTGTTTTTTGTATATAAGTACAGAGGCACATACTACATCTCTACATTTGTGTTTTAAAAGCTAAAGGCACTGTAGTCTCTCTTTCAGATTTTGTGAATTATCTATCATTTTTTGTCAAAAAAAGATTTGCCTGAAGAGAAAGAAAATTCTGTTAATTTTCCACATACCAGTTCAAGACCTTTATTTAGTAACTGTTAGCAGAAACTGCAAACTTTGTGATACATGAAAGAATAGTCATTAGTTTTTCTGCTTTTATAATCTGTGGTGGGAAAAAAGACAAGGGACATCTACTGGTAAAGATGGTTACTTTCCTTGGAAAGGAGAACCGAGGCATTTGAGATCAGGGGTGTGGGACAGTGAGTCATAATCAGCTGCCACTGGAGTGCTCAGTGCTTTGCTCCTACTGAAAATCACTGTACACAAATAATACTGAGCATTCAAAGCCCCATTCCCTGAGCTGTTACAGCAGTGGAAAAAATGCTTCTGTCTTCTGAAAACTTCATACCAGGTCCCTAAAGTAGAAGCTCACGTAAATACGCCCGAGAACCCAGATTTTAATACTGAAAAACGTTGCAAAAGAAAAATGGCTGTGTGCATTGCAGGAGAGGCTATGACAATGTGCTTAGAAGAAACCAACCCCAGCGGCACAAGCACTGCTACCTGGCAAACTGATGAGATAAAATGCTTCCATTTGTCCTTTAAACAGAAATCTTACTCTAGCAGTTGCTAGAATCAGAACTGCAATACTTTTCATTTAAGCATTTGTTATACCAATCTGAAAGCAGCATGAAAACTGGCTCCCACACCATGATGTTGGCCCTTGGCCAATTACATCACTATTTGGCACAGGGAATGGCCTAAGACAGGTCCCCAAACTCCTGCTTTCAATGTGATGTGTTAATTTCAAATACAAAAACACCACATAGCTCTCCTCAGGTAACCTACCAAGGTCTCCCACAGTACACAGCAGGTATAAACTTTCTTTCAAGTTTGTTTCCATTTTGAATCATAGCCCATCATCAGGAATTTAACTGTCAGCCACAAAAAGCACCAAAGACTTGTCCACTTGCTATATAACGGACTCATTTTTAAGTGAAGACTTGCAAAGACACTTAAAACCACAAAATGGACTTGGCTATTTCTGAGATTTGAAACAGAACATGTAAAAAATAGCCAAATTATTAACAATGTGAAGGACAGAAATGGAGGTTTTAACTCTATTTCAAATGGAGTTTTTCACTATTTCTGAGCTAACTGCAGAGATTCAGCCATGCTGTCACGATAAGACCTCTTCTGTATGAGTTAACACAGAACTAAATGTAAAGTGCATCTCAAAACAGATGTTCCTTTTAAGCAAAATAGTACCATATACACTCTTATGTGATAGCACAGGTCTGCTCTACCTTTTAGAGAAATACTAAATGAAACATTTCAGTTTTCAGGATAACTCTGCTCTCAGGATGGCACAACTTCACATTCATACAGACACAATGGAAGCTGACATGGTCCTGTAAGAAATCTGTCTTCCAAGAAATGTCATTTTTATGTTTCTAGAAGAAAAAAATATTTTAAGTATTTGTGTGAATCCACTCCCTTCTCCTGCTTCTGCTCTTCACAGTATAACAAGCTTAACATATTTTGCTCCCCACTGCCTGCCCTGGGCTTGCTGCTGAGGTTGCTGGAACTCCACTGAAAATTTTTCATCTCTAAGCATGCAGTAAAGGCCAGAGTTACTCCCAGACTTAAATGCTTTCACTTCAAGCGTGTAATCGAGTCCAAATTCTACCTAGACATATGACAACAAGAAGGTTTGATTTGAAGTTCTTCTGATAAAAGTAAATACAAAACAAAAAGAAAAAAATTGTTACAATTGTTTTAGCAAAGTAAATACATGTACTTAATACTGAGATAACATAGAGCTCATGACTAAGTCACGCTATGCTTTGTTCCAGGAAAAGTTATGTTTGTAGTATGATACTTTGCTATAAGTGGAACAAAACACACCAAGTTGTTTATAAAACAAACAAACAAACAAAAAAACATGCACCTTTTCTATCATAATGACATCATTGTTTTGTTGGCCTCTCATTTCACAATACAGATGCAGAATTCTAATTTTAAATGTATTTAATTTTATCTCCCCCCCCCCCCCCTCCCCCCCGCTATCTATTCTGCATGAGAATATAATTATCTGGTATTGGAAAGGTATATGGGAGGAATACAGAGACCAGTCAGTGTTTGTTTTCCCTTAAGTGCTCTACAGTTACATCCTCTGACCTATCCCATGCATCAAAATTCCCAAGCTCTGCCCCTATCCTGTAAGCAGTAGGTGTTAGACCAGAATCCCATGCCCTTACAACATTATCATTAAAATATTTACTTACAATACATTTGTCCAAAGGCAGATTAAATTCCTCTTAAAATCCCCTTAGTTTCACCACTAGAGACTTTGCTAGGACGTCCAAATTTGACAAGCAATGGAAACTAAATTCCTCTCTTTTCCCTCAGGAAAGGGAGGTATCTCTCTTTTTCAAAGGGAAAATTGATTTCTTCCTGCACACTTAAATATACTGGCTTTTAAAAACAAGGATTGCATTAAAAGTTTACAAGCCCATGAATTAACCATTTAGAAATACAGCACAATATGACAAATGAGAAAATAAAAAGTGTAACAGAATAATGTAAGCAAAACTACACTGAGGATTTGTCCCAGGTCCTAGACTGACCAGCAGAAAGGAAAACCAGTTCTTAGCTCTAAAGTCTTGAACCTTCAAAGCGCTGAGCACTATAGCCCAATTATGCAAAACCTGTAAGTACATTCACAGCATTGTGCATGTTAAGTTGACAGCAGTACCCAACTGGTTAAAAGGAAACGCTTGTTAAGTGCTGGATCAGATCAGAGCGCTCAGCTTCATTTAGGATGGATCAAGCAGCAACTGCAGCCTTGGTGACAGCGGAACAGGATTAGCTTTCTGATTGCCCCTTAAGTCATCTTACAGGTAGTAGGAACAGTGCAGGAAGCATACATGAAGGAATCCGCATGGCCTTGATTAACGCAACTTAAAACATATGTTTGCAAATGTTCCTAGAATGGAATGGAAATCTTCACCACTCTCCTCCCAGATCCAAAGGATGCAATGTTGACAGCGATAGATGGACACCACGAACCCTCTGTGTGCCTGTGAGCTGAGGACGCTGTGTGAGTTGGTATGTTTGTCAAAAGGTCATCAGGACATACGCTTTTTAGGGTGCACGTTTCCTGGGAAGGCCTCAAACCAGATCTTGCCCAGTGCTGCTGGGTGGAAAGCAATCCTGAACAGCAAACTGGATTCACTGATAAAGAGAGGTCAGCCCCAATCCCCACAGGGTGAAGAGGTGGACCAGCTATATCTGAATCATGTGTTCTGATGAAGATTGTTGGACTTGGGCTTCTTCTAAATTCTCTCACCACCTGGATAGGCATTGCAGTCCAAGGGGTGGCAAGTATTAGGGTGATTTTGGAAACCTTGTGGTGAGCAGGTGTTAGCCCATCACATGGCGCCTTCCCAAACTCCGGCCTTGATGAAGGGTGGTTCTGAAAGACAATCAGCTCTGGATCTAAGTTGTTGCTTGTGACCTCATTCCCATGAGCTGGATTTTCTCTTCCAGTCAGTGCAGCAGGGGACAGCCAGATATCTCTGGAGACAGACTCCTGGGGAAAGCCAGGGTACTTAGAGGAAGTCACATGAAACCTTGTGATTTGAAGGGCTGGAGACCCACCTGAATGAAAGACTGGTTTTGTTTTCTGGGATCCTGTTGGGAGACCTGCCGGTGTCTCAGGCACCTTCTCTAATTGTGGCATGAGAAGACTTGAATGAATGTGATTGCTTCCACGGGAATCTGCTCGAAAAGGCTTTACTGTCAAGCTGCAAGTTGAAATGTAAAGCTTCATTGAAGCATGGAGGTCTGGCATTTGGACGTTACACTGACTACAGCCTTGTTGAAGTGGGAGAGAATCACAAGGTTCCAAGGATGCCTGCCGATTTTTGCTGTGGAGTGTTGAAACAGCTGGAATAGCAGACAGATCAACATCTAGGCGTGATGTCCAGCTTGATGGAGCTTTGCAGGAAAGAACATCAGAGGGCAAAGATACAGCAAGCTTCAAGGGATTGTCTTTTTCAGGAGAAATAGGATGAACACTTCTATCTCTTTCTGAATATTGCTTGTAAGATGCAGGTGTTGACCAAGTGCCAGAACCCCCATATCCACGGCCCTGAGGGTCTCTGGGAGGACTGGAAAACCTGGATATCTTATCAGAAGGATCAACACCGTGAGTGGTGTTCCCAAAATCTTTCTTCCGGTCTGTGTGTGCCAGGACAACATCTAGCCTTGAACAATAAGCTCCAGAAGACACACTGCTCGGTGATGATGCACTGCTTGGTGATGAGCTGGCACTTCCTGGAGCCATCTCTGCAACTGATTGACCAGTGGGAGGATGCCAAGCTGATGCTGGCATCTTTTGGAAAGGCCTTTCCCGCACAGTAGATTCAAAAGGAGGAGGTGGGGTCATTCTGCTGGAAGACAGAATCACTTCTGCAGTGGAGACATAGACAGGTGCAGATGAAAGTTTGCAGTCCCTGCATGACATTCTGCAGCTTAGTCCTAAATGATGCAAAACCAAAGCCACAAAAGCTTGCCTTTCCCCCTGTTTTTAAAAGAAACTCCTAATCCTTTTTCCTTTGGTACTGGAACTTTCCATTCTTCTTCTGAAGCAAAGGAATGAGAGGTTAATAAACATTCTCCAGGAAAAAAAAAAATAATAAAAAATTAAAAAAATCCACATTCAAAATAAAACCACATAGCTCTTCTAGTACTGCTACCACCACCTATCACGTCTGCAAAGTGATATGAGAGTGGGATGGGCAGAAAGATAAATTACGGAGCATGAGGCTCTGCTCCCTGAGTGTTCTGACAGTGAGACTGCAGACAGAGTAGGAGGGAGCCAAAAATGCTTGCCAGAGACAGCCTGTGAATTTGCTGTTATTTCATCCATGAAAAAAAAAGGAAAGCAGCTAACCTGAGCAATGCATCTGCTGCTGTGAAAAGATTAGAAAGGCACAGAACGCACAGGACACTGCCTCTGCTCAAAGCAAAAATGATTTTTTTCTTCCTTCTCTTTTTCAGCTGTTGCTTGTCTGCACTCCGAATGGCAAGATCTCAGTTTGCAGGTCCTAGGAGAGTTTCCTACAACAGTTCCATGCAATGGCACAACTGAATTAATAACAAAAATAAATAAAAAAAGATAGATGTTTGCCTAATTTTCTCCACATGTGCTCTATTTTCTTTAGCATAGAACAATCCTAGACTAAATTCTGCAGAAATCCTTCGAAGGTTTAAGTAACTTGGATGTAATATAAGATGCTGGCATGAAGTCAAACCTGTCACACTGGCACAGACAGCGAATGAGAGAGCAGTTCTCAGTAGCAGTTTTTAAACACTCCTCTGTTGCCTTCTTTCTTCCCCTGTTCCTTGCTGCTGGGAGAGACTTGGTCTAAGGCACATGAAGTTCTGGGAAAACAGGATCCAGTAATTACGGGATGACAGGAGCTGCTCTATACGCACATTTTGCAGATGTACAACAGCAAAATGCATGTGACTTGACATGAGTGTTGCCTTGAACGTAGCAGTCAGAAGAAACACAAGGGGTGGAGAGATTGCTAACATTTCTTTGCCTGATGGGAATTCTTTTTGAATGCATGTTTGCTGCTGTCCATTCTCAAAGCAGCAAATGACAAAATTCCCACTGGGGAAGTGGTTTGGGAGTTTTCAACTGATGTCTTGGCTGAATACTTTATGAAACCACATTTGAAAGGGCTCCTTTCCTACCCTCCTGCCTATCTCCCTAGGGAGCAAGTCTGCGTCACTATGCAGCCATAATTTAACTCCATATAGTAGTAACAGAGCTCTATCCAAACATAATAGATTCCCCTTCCAATTGTTCTTCAAATGCAGAGAAGTAAAATAAAAAGAGTGAGCTGAGAGACCTCAGTTCACTGTCCAATTGTATTTATTGATCCATGAGGCAGATGGCAGCACCTGCAAAAGACAGCTTTGTAGTTCTTGATATTCCTCCCTCATTCAGATGGGAGTTTGGCAGCTCAGGAATAACCTGTTTGAAGAATTATGACACAGAGGGATGAGAGAATAAAAGAAATACAGGAATTTCAGCTGTAGATGAATCAAAATAGTGTTGGCATTTCGTTTCAGGGCCAGGCTGATGCACTGCATATTAAGGAAGGAGTAGAAGGAGTAGAATCCAGAAGGCAATTCCTTTCTGTTCCTCCACAAATAACAGAAAATGTTCCTCTTCTTGCATTAATGTTCTTTACTGGTTCCATTCCATAAATTTTTCAAAAAGATACAGTTTAATTTGTATGCCAACTTGTAGTCCCTGGCTTTTCATCAGTGTAATTTCCTAACCTTGCATCCCGCTGTATTTATACTCACTGTGGATTGACACTACCCTGGACTTTGAGGTGATCATCAACATTTCCAGGTCTCAAAGCAGTAAAACTGACAAAGTCAGCAAAATGTGATTCAAAATGAGCAGGGAGCAGTGGAATTTGTGAAGTATGGTTTAGATGTGCTTTCACTAATACTCCCCTGTTTGGAGGCAAGCTGATGTTCCTGGGCAGCTGCCTAAAAAACCAAGATGGCAAGAATGGACATGACAGGAATGAGTCATCATGATGGAAGAAAATAATTCCTGAAAGGAAAGCTGTTCACAATATTGGCCTAATTAGTGCATCCAGGAGTAGTGTGTGTTGAAACTCATCCTGAATGCTCACAGCTCATTGAGGATCTCTTCGTTTGCATCTTTGGAGATGAACAAATTCAGTATTTCCTATTCCCACCTAACTGCACTTATACATTTTCTGGGCTAAATCTAAGGACCAAACCATAAAAGTCTCTTCTAGACACTGCGATAGCTTGGTGATAGTAGGGACAGAGTCAGTGAAGGAGACATATCGCTGACTATGATACCCAGATTACCAGTTTAGGAATCCATGGTGTTCTGAAATTTCCCTTGTAAACTTCAGGTAGATACTTGGTCACTAATTTCAATTTCAGAGACATTTGTCTATATGGTATACGCCGCTGTGACTTACTTTTCTGTTTTAGACCAGTAACTCTGTCAGCATGCAACTGTAATTCTTGTCATGCACGTACCTCTCACAAAAGCAATAGTTCTTCAATCAGTTGTAATCTCCAGAGGATTAAATATAAACAGAAATGATAAACAAAAGCATTTATGAGTCTTCTTTCCATAGCTAGCGCATTCTGTCCAACCTCAGCATTCTTTTTTTAATTTTTGTTATTATTTTTTAAATTGGTTGCAGAGAGTAGTGGAAGGAACATAAGGAGCATACAATGATTGTGGCTCCCTTATTCTCTACACCTGCACAGATGAGACCAGTTTGTCATCATGCCTCTCTGTTTATTTTCTTGTCATTCTCCATGACCACAAAATGCTGTCTGTGCAAAGGGATGCTGGGAGGGACAGCCCATCCACACCTTAACTGCTCTACTTTTTGAGCATTTACCCACAATGAGAACAACTGAGTACCCAAATGCTTGGAATTTCTTAGAGAAAATGCTACTAGAGAAAGATTCTGACACCAAAGCTGCCCATTATGTTTCTCAAGGTCACAGTCTTCATTCTCAGGCTTTGCTTTGGCTGAAGAAACTTGTGGTAGAGGCAGACTGTGGCTGATCCCACCATGAGAATTTACCCAGTCTATGATGAAAACCTTTTTTTTTTTTGTGTCAGTCTACCTCACAACATACAGCAACAGTAAATTCACCTGAACAAAAAAGCAATGTGAACTGTAGGTTACCTGTACAGATGATGCTGGGAGCATACTGAAATTGCCAGGTGCAACCCTTTTAATGTAAGTGTAATATAGTCTTTCACAATCAAGACTCTTGACTGAGGGTGAGAAGAAACACTAGCCCATAGCAGTTATCATATGTATTTACCTCTGAGGTATGTACAGCAAAGCAGATGCCATAGTCATAGTGCCTCTGCATGCTGGCTGATCATGTTTCATGGTAAGAGAAAGAATGCAGTTGCCAAAATTTTGTGGAGTTTATTTTTTCCCTGAGGATGCTGCCCATATAGGAGTTTAGCAATGTCGTGTCACCGCTTGGAAGGGAATTGAGAGATATAATACAAATAGTGTCATTTGTTAATTAAGTAACAACTAAACATTTTTACTTGGCAGAACTATGTATTATTTTATTTTAGGAACTTGAAGCTAGGTTAAATTCTCTTGCTTTCACATCCCAGCACAAACTCAGAATGCAGAATGTATTTGCCAAGCATGCCACTTGTAGGGAATCATAAAGATATGCAGTTCCTACAAGCAACAAGAAACAGAAGAAGGCTCCAAGCTCATGCGCCCCAAAGGGTTAAGAATGGGCATGGCACAGTTCAGTGCAATTTTCCAAACGGTTTAGTGTCAGTGGCAAAGCACTGGTGGGAATCAGAGAAAATTCAGCAGAAACAGAAAAACACTATTTCATGCTGCCAAGGGTCTTGGAGAACTAAGAATGATTTGTCTGGAATAAGAAATGATGTTGAGATACAAACTCCTTCAGCTTTGCTTCAACCCTTCAGTTTGGCAACCTTCATCACATCAATATCATTTGTGAGCCAAGTTTCAGCACAGTTACAGCAATCTATCAACTAATGAATTTGCACAGAGTGACTGGAAAGGACACTTGATTTCCGCGCTCCCAGTTTTGTAACAACAAACGTCAGAACTCTAGCTGAAACTATTTAGATAGCTCCCATGAAGCCAGGGAAGTTCAAGAAAGAGGAAAGACACTTGAATATTGATGAGAAATACACTTCACTTCAAGAGCAGCAAAATGATCATACAAAGAATATTTTGCTGGCTTTGCATTAACTATATCAACCCTCTTTTCATGAGAGGCCTTTTCCCACTAGTTCATCTTTCTCTACTACATCAAACAGGAATCTACTATTCCTGTATACAGGAATCTACTATTCTCTACTATTTCTCTTCCTATACAGGAATCTACAAACAGGAATCTACTATTTCTCTACTACATCATGAGGAATCTACTATTCCTCATGGTCAAATTTGTTCGTAGTTGTTCTCCACACTGTTATCAACTCCCTTGCAGACTGAGAAGTCAGTTCCTTCCTGTTCCTGGATTAACTCTGACTGTCAACATCCATTTTGAATTAGTTACGTTTCCCCAGCACTTTCAGCCCGAGAGGAGGTTTCCAGCAACACCTGCAAAGCAATCTTTTTTTGTCCTTTTTCAGACCCTCTTTACAATTCCCCCCTTTTTCTTCTGCAGCCTACAAAACAATCTCCCAGTGATTAAGCAGTTGGTATGCTAAGACCTCTCCAAAGTTGACTAATACTGGACTGTTGTCTCCCTCTTCTGTCTTATATGTTAGCTCTGACGTTTATTTGCAATTAGTTAGCTTTGAGGGAAGGACTATATTTTTGTTTCTATTCCCCACCCCATAAGAAAGGGGGTTCTTGGTAAATTGCTAGTCTCCAGATACCATAATGCAAATAACAACAAACAGTGTCTTGTCTATACATAGACCCAATAATTTTAAGTGGTAGAATTTTAAGTGGCACAGTAATGTCTCTTTTAGTCTGGAAGAGTTTGAAAGCCAAGTTTAACTTCTTGTTTCAAGTTTATAATTCACATACCTCTTGTGAGTTCAGAAGCTTGTCCAGGTGATTCCAATCCTTGTAGAACATTTGTTCTTGATGTACTTTCTCCAGCCACTTCTTCTTCTGTTTCCACTCACTGTATACATTCTCCTTCTCTTCCAACAGAGACTGTAGCTTCTGCTGAATCTGAAAACAATTTTCAAAGAAAGACTCGTGTTGGTCTTTATACCCCATGGACGAGGGTAAAACGGTAGGAAAAGGATCAAGTGGAGTGTTGGATAAACTCCTAAAATTGCACCAAAATTATCAAACAAAGAAAAGTTGAACAAGTTCCAGCACTTGTATTTGGGCAGAGAGATAATCAGAGAGGTGCCTCATCTAGGAACAGAGGAATGATTGTTACAGCATACATAGTAGTACAAGCCAAGAAGAAATAAAGGTAACTGTTTCTCAAGTGTACCTTCTGGAATCAAATCCTACTTCTTCCTTATCTTTAGTCATAATAGTGCAATTATAGCCCTTCAAATTGGGATAGGACAGATAATTAAATAAATTGCATATATAACATATTATTCTATATTCTGCTAATATA